GAGAAATGTAATTGTGTTGTATACCTACAATGTACCAATAAAATAATTTAATACAAAAAAAAAAGAAAGTATAGCAGAAAACTTTCCAAGCATGGAAAAAGAATATGTCATACAGATAAGTGAGGCATATTGATCCCCAACTAGCCATGATCAGAAAAAACTATAGCAGGACATATAATAGTCAAGATTCAAAAAATTCAGCACAAGAACAGAATCTTAAAAGAAGTTAGAGAAGAGAGACAGACCATTTATAAAAGAAAAACCATCAGAATTACAGCAGACTTCTGAACACAAACCCTAAAGTCAAGAAAAGCTTGGAGTGAAGTGTTTCAAGCCCTAAAAGAAAACACCTTCCAACCCAGACTCACATATCCCACAAAATTATCTTCAAAATTGTTGGAGAAATAAGATGCTCCCATGATAAAGAGCACATGAAGAAATTCATGACCCCCAAACCAGCACTACAAAAACTTTTCAAGGATATCCTAGAAAGAGACAATGAAGATAACAATGCCAGAAAGCCCAATAGAATGAATTCACCAGGCAAGGGCAACAATTAAATGGAAGGAAAAGAAAGAGAACCAACAGCAGGAAAATAATATAATCACTAGAATAAGTCAAAACCTACTCACTTATAGCCATTAATGTGAATGGTCTGAATTTATCAATCCAAAGAATCAGATTGCCAGAATGGATCAAGAAACAAGATCCAACAATATGCGGTGTGCAAGAAACACATTTAACCCGAAACAAAATTCTTGGACTAAAAGTCAAAGGTTAGAAAACAATACCCCATGTGACAGGAACCTTGAAAAAGCAGGAATAGCTATTCTAATTGCAGACAAAGAGGATATCAAGTAAAGAGTGATCAAAAGAGACAAAGAAGGTCACTGTTGCTGTATATTATTCCACTGAATGAACCTATGGCCCTGTATTAGTCTGTTGAAATTATGGTACATATTTGACTTGTTTCAAGTTCTGGAATATTACAAATAATGATGGTAGAGATCACCATGAGAATGACTTTGAATCCAAATATGTATTTATTTATTTTGAGTTTTTAACTCCTTTATTTTAACTCTGAATGATACGATCTTTTTTGCAAAGTCAAATTCTTAATCTTAAAGCACAACTTATCAATATTTTCCCGTATCCTTAGTTTTCTTTTGTACTATTTAACAGAACTTTACCTACTCTGAGATCATAAAAAATATTCTTTAAAAAATTTAACTGCTTTTCCTGTGCATCTAATTTTACATGCACTCTGGGTTGATGCTGTGTATGGTGTGCACAGTGTGAGAAAAAGTTTCATAGTATTGCTTAGACTTATTGACTCTGAAGCCTTTCCCAAAAGGTTCTCTCTCTCTCTATGTGGTCCCATCATTTTCAAAATCAGAGTGTCTCCCATTCTGTGTCAGGACTCTGTTCTATTCCAATCTGTCATTTGTCTGTCCTTTTACTAATGCCATATCTTTTTAATTATTATAACTTTATAGTATGCTCATACAACTGAAAAGAGTCACCTTAACATTTTACTTATCGAATTTTCTGGCTTTTTATGTCAAGTGTGCTAGTCATTCTTGGCCCATGTAAAGTACAGAATCACCTTGTCATAATTAATTTAAAAATATTAGTATGTTGAATGAGATTGAATTTAATTACCATATGAATTTGGAGATAATTGATGGATAATATTGAGTCTCCATGTTCATTTACATGTCATAACCCTCAATTCATTTAGGACTTTATCTCAGAGGTTTTAAACACCGTTTTTGTGTCTTCTATTTAATGAATTTGATACTATTAGTATTGCTCTCAGTCAAACCTCCTAGTAATAGACTTTCCAGCTTGTTTTAAACTTTCTTGCTTTGTGAGATTTTCAAATATCTTTTACTTAATTTCAGAATTATAGACAAGTGGTAAGAATAATATGTCTCCCCAGATTCTCTAATATTGGTATTTTACTATATTGTGCTCCTCCACATGCCCCATTTCTCACTAAATATGTACAAACCTTCTGAATGACCAACTAAATAAATGTAGTCACATGATATCCATTTACTCCTAAAATACTTTAAAAATTTTCCTTATGTACAATTGCCAAATTGTAAAACTGAACCGTGTGATAATAGTTATTTAGATTAAGCCTTATCCAGAATTTACCCATTTTCCCAAGTATGTTGTTCACAGTAAATAATTTGAGCAGATGTGATTAATTCAGTTATTATCTACCCTTAGTATTATTTAATGTGGATGGAACACATAGAATCTTTCTTTGTGTCTGAAGATATTGTTATTTTGAAGGATATAGGCCTATTATTGCCCAGAATGTCCTCAGCTTGAACTTTGGCAGTAAGTGAAAGATTACATATTCTGATAGCACAGTCAATTGATATCTGAGTCTGTCCTACATAAATGTAATTCAGCTTTGACTTCTACACAAAGTGGAAATTAAAAAGAAAATATTAGCAAGATTAATGACAGTACCAGTCTTCCTTAAGTTGTTGCACAATATGAATTGTTAACACCAGATGAGACATGTCTAGTGCTATGCGTCCTGTATCTTCCTGTAGTAAACAGAGGCAGACACATTCAGGTCAATGCGCTTTTAGCTTTTATGTATGACAGAGAACCTGTGGTACTGTTCTTTCTGTGTCTGGTTTACCTTATTTCTCATGATGCCCTCCAGTTCCATCCATTTTGCTGAAATGTCAGGATTTTATTATTCTTATAGCATATATACATACATATATATATATATATTCCCATTTGCATGCACTTCCCTGTGCTGAGAGCCTATGTTGGTCCTGCACCTTAGCTATTATGAGTTGGGGTACAGTAAACATGGCTCCACCCCGTGCTTTTGCTCAGAAGCAACTCTCCAAGGTCAGGCCAGACTCAAAGGAGGAGCAATGAACCCCACCTATCCAAGGGTCCAGAATCACAGATTCCGTGTGTGATGAAAATCACAGATGCTTTAAACACCCCACTGTGTGTACTTCCCACTCTCTGCTGTCACTCTGCTCACCGTGGCACTGAACACGGTACACTGTCACAGGAGTGCCTGGCTTTCCCACCACTGTCGTTTCCCTTGTGTGCCTCCTGTTCTGGTTTTCCGTGCCTCCCTGTGTTTCCCATTTTCCTCCACAGTGTGGTGCTGTGTCTGTCTCGCTATGATCCTCTTGTCCTCAGATGCAGACTTCAAGTCCTTAACTTTGCCTATGGGCTTTCTAAATGTTAAACAGCCATGGACTTTTGTCGTGATGTATCTGACGAGATACACACCATATCATTCTGTTTTCTTAACAATGCACTTAGTTTTTATTTTATCAGTGCATGTTTGCAGGACCTGAAGAGTATACTCATCTTGGGGAGTAGGCACATGTACGTAAAACAGCTTGTTTCTTTCTTTATCCCCTTCCCCTTTCCAGCCACCTCCCCCCTCAGCCTCTACATCCCCCTTTACCCATTTTCTTTCTTGTTGTTATTATTGTTATTCAGTCTTGTTATCATCCTTGTTGTTCTTATTCTGAGCTCCGGTTTATAACACACCATGTTGATGTTCATTGTGAGCATTTGTCATTTCAATCACTGCTATGGAAATACCCTGTGTGGTAACGGCCATAGTTGCATAGCATGTGGAAAAATTTTATTTATCTTTTTTATCTTGGTTTCCTATTGAAATACTCAATGTGGGTATTTTTTTTCTTCTCTTTTTCATTAGGCCACTCTGCTGCCCTTTATTATGTTAGTACAAGCCTTGGGTAAAACAGATACATTTATACACACAGAGTGAAGAGACAAAGGTTCCACTGTCATGGAGACCCTCGTATTGCTAAATTTCAATTTAAGGGGTTGAACACATGACCTTACAAAACTTTAATATGTTATGGTTCATCTGAACTTGTCAGTTGGCCCCAAGCTGCGATAATCAACTTTTCAGTGTCAGATTCATTTACTCCTCGAAGAATCCTAAAACAGCCATCCTCTCTCCATGACTTCCCCCCGGAATTGGCAGCAATCCAAAATTTTTCTTTTCTTCCTTTTGCTCCTCTCAGTGTACCCCACGCAGTAAGTTTGACTGCATAGGTCTGAGGCTTTTGATATTTTTCTGAATCTTCAATTGTGCTGGTAACATGTCTATATATCCCTGTCTTGTAATAGAAGAAATCTTCCTGGACTTGCATTATGGCTGTAGGCTTCATCACGGAGGCACATGGGCCCTGGCAGCCAAGGCCCACTACAGTTGGTGAGTGATCCAATGTGGGTATTTTTGATTGACAGGTATGTTCGATGACATCATGGAAGGACTTCAGAAAAGGGTTAATTTTTCTTCTCATAGACAATGAACTTTTAGGGTAAATCACCTTATTCAAAAATAAATGAAGTGGTTAGAAACTGAGGACTCATGCTTGTGAGGAATAGTCTACTTTTAATTCACCCTTTCTTCTGTAACACAACGTATTTGGTTGTTTGAAATATTTTAACATGTTGAACTTATTTGCTTGTTTAACTAATGTATTTGGTTCTTCTCCTTAGTCAACCTTGAGTTACACTTGTGCTTCCCAGAATTGTGAATCTGTCAAATACTGTGTTGAGGTTTCTTTTGTGTCTTAGCAATTACCTGTGAAGGAGTGGATTTCTCAAGAAGATGACTCACTTGGTCTTTTACATCCCAATGACATTTTGGCTACAAAAATTCTAGTTGTACTGGGAACTATACAATACTTTCAGATAGTGTTGATATATTTCTGCTTTCCTAGTCATTCTTAGTGTTTGAATTGAAAGAAAAAAATCTGGTCTAGTCAAAAGTAAATATCTCCACGGAGAAGTTGACAGGAAGTCATTGCTCCTGTTTCACAGCTTGTATCCCATACGCCATCTCTAAACTGTTGTTTTATGTAACTTAGGTTCCTGCTCTCTCACCTTCTCTGCAGGAAACCAGACCCAGCTGCTGCCCCAGTGTAAGGACTCCCTCTCTGACCCAGCAGGCTCTGCAGCCTCAGAGGTGCAGGCTGCCAACTGCTCAGGTGAGGACATCCCCAGGACACAACCTGCCCCTTCCTGCGTCAGCACCACTGACCTGATTCTGTCTCTCCTCAGGGGGAGAGGGGCAGTTGCTGTGCAGGGAGAGTGGAGATCCTGCACCAGGACTCCTGGGGCACCATCTGTGATGACAGCTGGGACCTGCGAGATGCCCACGTGGTGTTCAGACAGCTGGACTGTGGAGTGGCCCTCAATGCCACGGCCTCTGCTCACTTTGGCCAGGGATCAGGGCCCATCTGGCTGGATGAGCTGAGCTGCACAGGGGAGGAGTCCCACGTGTGGAAGTGTCCTTCCTGGGGCAGGGGACAGCACGGCTGCAGGCACAAGGAGGACGCAGGGGTCATCTGTTCAGGTCTGTGCTCACAGGGTCCACAGCATGGGAGGAGCAGGGAGTCTCCAGGTTGGCCTCTGACCATAAGGTGAGAGTTGGGCCAGTAGCTGAGTGGGGCGGAGCTGGACAGGCTCCTTTCCCAGGGTTGTTTTTTTGTTTTTTTTTTAGTAGAGGGAAAGATGAGGTGCTGTCACTTCCTCCTGCAGTAGCTGCGAGTCTGGTTCTTCCTTCTTATCTCTGTCTCCTGACAGTCATTTCCTGCAGTGTTCCTCAGTTCCCTGTGGGTACAAACCCTCAGGCCCACTGTATTAGGTTCCTATTCCTGCTGTAACAACTTACCACAGAGTTACTGGCCTCAAACAGCATGAGTTATTACCTTACACTTATGTAGGTAGAAGGCTGACCCACATCTGGCTGGGCTGAAAGCAAGGTGTCAGTAGGGCTAATTCCTCTGATGCTCAGGGAAGACTCATATCCTTGTCTTTTCTAGCTTCTAGAAACTGCCTTCATGCCTTGGCTCCTTTAAACCAAACACATTACAACTCCCTGACCATTTTTGTGTGGTAACACCTTCCTGTAACCAAGGTCATAAATGCGCCATCTGCTAGTTAGGCTACAGCATAAGAATGCTATGGGATTGGGCTCACCTAGTTAATCCAGAAAACCCAGGATAATCTCACTACTGAAAGCCCTCACTTAATCTGATCTGCAAAGCCCCTTTGCCAAGAGAGGCAATGTATTCATAGGCTCTAAGGTTCAGGAAGTGGACACATTCAGTGTGTCACTACTCTGTCTTCCCTCCACTGTACACATGATATTTTACAGTCTTTCAGATATTTATTCAGGAAGTAGGATTCAGCCTTTGCTCCCTGGAGAGCCCTCAGGTCTGAGTCCCTGACTTTCCTTTTTCTCTACCTCCCTGTGGGAGAAATAGAATGACAGGTTCAAGACTGCAAAACAGATAAAAGGTAAAGAAGTTTCCTTCTCTCCATGGAGAGCTCACATCCTCAGCATAGCAAAGAATGAGTCTGCACTCTTTAAAACAAACAGTAAGGGTTGACTGATTTCTGTGCCTGGCTGTTTCAGAGTTCCTGGCCCTCAGGGTGGTGTGCGAGGACCAGGAGTACGCTGGGTAGCTGGAGGTTTCCTACAACAGGACCTAGGGCAGTGTCTGGTGCAGCCCCATGGAAGCCACGACCTTGTCTGTGATCTTCATACAGCTTGGCTGTCAGGACAGTGGGACCCTCAACTCTGATGTCCCTGCCAGGGAAGGTTCTACACCCCTGTAGGTAGACGGAATCCAGTGTCGAAAAAGTGACTCCTCTCTCTGGAAATGCCCTTCTGACCCTTGCAATCCTAGATCTTGCTGTTCAAGGGATGCAGCTTATGTCATGTGTGCAGGTGAGCTACTGGATATTTATAAGCATCTCTCCCACCCTTGTAGGTTGTTGTTAGGGAAATTTCATGACTCCTTATGTAAGGCCTGGGTTTCAATATGTCTACAAAATGAATTTTTGAATTTTAGGTTATTTACTCCATATGTTTCTTTCTTGTTTCAATAGCAAAAATAGAGACATGTGCTGACAGCAGTTCATGTGAATAATCTCAGGGAGCCTGAACTGAGCACATGAAGCATGAACTAATACTCTGATAAATGCTCTGAGCAATTCACATACAGAGGTGGGAGGAGCATGGGGCCCTGAGGTGCTGAGAAAATCCCATCATGGTCAGAGCAGAAGGGCGTGAGGGAGAGTTGCTTAACTCTTTTCTCTCCTCATCACCTCCAAAACCCCCAAGTAGAATTGGCAATAGTCACTGTCTTCACCTTTTGTGACTCTGGTGATGCTGAACTTATTCCAATTAAATCTCAGACTCTGCTACTCCTCAGAGTCGGTAAGAAAATAAAAACATAACAGCAACTTATCTTCCAATTCCTCTTGACTTCTCGGCAGTGTTCAGCAACGTGACGCTCTCTCCTTCACGTTTTTCCTTGTGAGCCCTCTGCCTGACCGATTGCTCTTCTCATTCTGTCTCTCTGGGCTGGAACCTCTGCTCAGCTGCTAGGGCTAGGCTGAGCCACGCTGAGGGCCGAGCCTCGGGCTCTCTGCTCCTCCTTAGCGGAGCTCCTGCCGGATGACCTCTGCAGCTCTGCAGGCCAGGAGGGCGGCCAGCCCGCCTTCCCTCTCAGCCTGCCTCTGTCTCCCTGAATTAGCCACACTTGCTGTTGCTGGATTTGTACATGCTGGGCTCCAGGGCATTCAAGCATTTCACATCAGTTATTTAGGGTTTAGATAGGAACCATTCCCTCTCTACTTCACTTAAATTACAAAAACATAATTCACTCACTGTGGGCAAGAAAGTAATATAAAAATGTAAAAAGATAAATTCATTGTATCACCTCTTCTCCATTAATATTACCCTATAGTATATATAATTAATGATTTTAGAGAAATACCTCAAAACTCATTTATCCATGAAAAGGTAGACTTTGATGGCATATTTTTATTTCTTTTCACAATATTGGTATTGTGTATACATATTATTGTTATATTAGCTTTTTTACTCAACAATTTGAAACCAATAATTTCCATTTTGCATATTCATATCTATATAGAAAAGATTGAGATTTTTTGCTTACAATGTGTCCATTAGATTAGAGCAAGTACACACTGAGGATATCAAAAACCAAATACTCATTATATTCTTCTTTCCTTCCTTTCATCTTTCCTTGTTTTGACTTTTCATAGTGATTTCACTTCCTTCAACATGTTTTGTTCCTCTTGATTCTCCCTCTCCCTCTCCCTCTCCCTCTCTCTCTCTCTGTCTCTCTGTCTCTCTCTCACAAACACACACACACACACACACACACACACCTCATTCAGTTTTACCTGGAGTAGTGTGCAAAGACTTGTCTGAAGTTTACAGTAGAGGAGAATATAATGATAAAGGTTTCATAAATGTTTGCATTCTCCATTGACTGTGTCCTCACTTTCTGTCTTTTCCCTGTGGAAGTTGAAGGTTATTAAACTAAAAGACCATGTCTTGGTAATATTTTTCCTACAAGAGGACATGAAGAGTCAGGAGGTAGTAAAGTCTTCGATGTGGAAGCTGAGCAAGCCCTGCATAGAAGCCCACTCATCACTGTCAGAGCTGTGTCCTCCACCAGGGAGGAGGGTTGAGGGGCCACGTGGGAATCTGTGGGATTCTGATAATTTAGGACAAGCCTGTATATACACCCGGATTGTCTGTGTTGTTTGGGATTCCTCTCTTTCTCATGGATTCAGTAGTTTTCTGTACTGTTTTGGTCTGAGTCTCCGTTTCCTCTTGTGAGTTAGTTTCACTCAGGGTATTCCAGTTCTCTGGAACTCACTCACCTGCTCGCTATTGTCCACTTAGCCATCTTTCTTTTAGTGCTACTTGTTCTGTAATTTTTGTAGAATTAAATTTTTTTATCTTTTTAACTTTTATAATTTATATTAAATCTTAATGAAATTTTGAATACAGTTCGCTTTTGTGATTATGTACAAACTATGTTTTAATGCTCAGTATTTATTACTACAACTCAATGCCGTTAATTTCTATTCCCTTTTTATCTGATTATCAAGGTGTGAGATGAATTAAATTTAGCAGAGTTGACACATCTGGTCATTCATTCAATAGATGTTTCAGCCCCTTTCAGAGCATGCACACAAAGGTCCCTGCCCCTCCTTACTGGTGATGTGGACCACCGCGCTGCCCACCCTGACACAGGCCCAGAAGAAGGGAGATGTGTAAGGTGCTTCCTCTAGTGGGGCTTGACCTCTGGTGCGTGTGTCTGTGCATATTTGTGTTTGTGTGTGGTGTGGGAGTGTGGAGAGGGTCACACAATTGAAATGAATAGATAATTGCAACTGATGCTGAAGGACATGGGCCAGTGATGTCTCATCAAGCAAACTGCTGGGCTAACTTGAAAAGGCCCTTATTTCCACTGTCATCTGGACTGAAATCAGGATGTAGAGATCTTTGGTTTGGGGAGGACCAGCCCCACCCACTGCTGACCCAGTGCTTCCCAACTGTCTGCTCCTGCAGGTCCCAGACCCAAGAGCTGCCCAACTCTGGCCCCTGCACAGGTACTGCAGCCCTCCCTGCCTCCCCCAGGGCTCCTGGGGGCTCCTTCCCTCCACCAGGGCAGGGAGAGGAGCTGCTGCTGCCTTTCCAGACAGAGAGAAGCTACGGCTCAGGGGAGGAGACAGTGTGTGCTCAGGCCGCGTGGAGGTGTGGCATGAAGGCTCCTGGGGCACAGTGTGTGATGGCTCCTGGGGCCTGGCTGAGGTGTGTCAGCAGCTGGGCTGTGGCCCTGCCATGGACACCCTGGGAGAGGCTGCATTTGGCCCGGGAAATGGAAGCATCTGGCTGGATGAGGTGCAGTGCAGGGGCGGGGAGCCCTCCCTGTGGGCCTTGCCAGGGTGCCCTGGGGACAGAGCAACTGCAAGCATGAAGACGCAGGCGTGAGGAGCTCAGGTGAGTGGCAGACCAGGGGTGTGGGAGGCAGGTGCAGGAGAACTGTGTCCAAGGCTGCCCTCTGCCCTGTGCTGTGGTTCTGCAGAGGCTGTGCTATGAGCTCCTGGTGTCTGGGAGAGAGCCATGTGCAGTGATGGTGTGACTGTCCAGTGGCACAGTGCAGTGATTCTGCTTTTCTCCTTTTCTCTCCAGGTGAAAGGGCAACTGTTCCTCCCATCCCCTGAAGTAAGTATTCTTCTGCCATGAGCTAGTTCATAGAGAGCTGTTTAGATTCTCATGCATCTGCACTATGCAATCTACATACTTCTGCATCTGGGTAGGCTAGATGGTCACACTTTAGAAGCAACCATAACATTTCATTGCGTTGTAGCAGCCATAGTGCTTCCAGGGCAGACAGGGCTCACTTCAGAGAGACCCCTGTGCCAGAAGATAGACTTTCGGCCTTCTCTGAAGACTCACAGGCTCTTTTCCTCCTCAGGCACCAGTTCAGTCTCAGCACCTGTTTTGGATTTCTTTTCTTTACCGGGGATCCTCTGCATCATCCTGGGAGCCTTCCTCTTCCTGGTCCTCATCATCCTAGGGACTCAGCTACACAGATAGAGAGCTGAGCTCCGAGGCAGGGCTTCAGGATATTGGTGATCTAGAATTTATGGGGGGAGAATGTGTTAGTCTCTTTCCCAACACTGGAAAAAACATACCTGACTCCCAGAACTTTAAAGGAGGAGGGGATGCTTTTGGCTCACAGTTTCAGTGGTGTCAGTCCATGGCTGGCTGGCTCCAAGTCAGAAATTGCATGGTGGAACATCATGGCAGAGGGGAGCTGTGTGCCGTAAAGGCCACAAAGCAAAGAAGGAGGGGAACTGGTGAGGGAGATCTCTCCAAAGGCATGCCTCCTGCCCCTTCCATCCAGGACCCATTTTCTCACAGCCCCGACAGCATGAACTCTTCAGTGCATTCATGAATACAGTGCCCCATGATCCAAACACATGAGAGTTTTGGGAGCCATTTTTTATCTAAGCCATAAATGCCTGGAAATTGAATAACACCCTCCTGAACAACCAATGAGTCACAGAGGAAATTAAAGAAGAAATTAGACAGTTTATACAAGTAAATGATAATGCCAGTACAACATATAGGAATCTATGGGACACAATGAAAGCAGTTCTACAAGGAAAATTCATAGCAGTGAATGCCCATATTAGGAAAACAGAGAGAACTCAGGTAAATAACCTAATGCAGAACCTCCAACTCATAGAAAAAGAAGAGCAAAACAAACCCAAAGCTCCCACAGGGGAAGAAATTATAAAGATCAGAACAGAAGTCAATGCAATGGAGCTAAGAGAACAATACAAAATATCAATGAATCGAAGAGTTGATTTTTCAAAAGAATAAATAAAATCGATAAACCCTTAGCCAACCTTATTTAAAAAAAGGGAAAAAACAGCTCAAATCCATGCAATTAGGAACAAAAAAGGTGAAGCCACAACAGATGGAGCAGAAATCCAGAGGACCATCAATACCTACTTTGAGAACCTGTACTCTCATAAAACGGAAAACAGAAGAAATGGACAGATTTCTAGATATGTATGAATTACCAAAGTTGGATGAAAAAGATAATTCTAAACACCCCAAATATAATCAGTGAAATTGAAAATGTAATTAAAAATTTACCAACAAAGAAGCACAGGTCCTGTTGGCTTCACTGCTGAATTCAACAAGACATTTATAGAAGAACTATTATCACTACTCTTTTAACTTTTCAATGAAATTGAAAGGGAAGCAATACTCCCAAATTCATTCCTGGAAGCAAGTGTTGCTTTGATTCCAAAAGCAGACAAAGACCCAACCAAAAAAGAGAAGGCCAATCTCCCTAATGAACATAGATGCAAAAATCCTTAATAAGATACTGGCAAACAGAATACAGAGGGTCATCAAGAAGATCATACACCCTGACCAAGTTGGATTTATCCCAGGGATGCAAGTATGGTTCAACATATGTAAATCAATAAATGTAATACACTATATCAATAGAGCCAGTGACAAAAACCATATGATCACCTCAATAGATGCAGAAAAAGCATTTGACAAAATTCAACACCCATTCATGATAAAAACTCTGCAGAAAATTGGAATAGAGTGTCTTTATCACAACTTGGTAAAGGCTATCTATGAAAAACCAAAAGCCAACATCATACTAATTGGTCAAAAACTGAAAACCTTCATGCTAAAATCTGGAACAAGACAAGGATGTTCACTATCACCACTCCTGTTCAATATAGTCTTGGAAACATTAGCCACTGTAATTAGAAGAGAGAAAGAAATAAAAGGAATAAAGATGGTAAAAGAAGAAGTTAAATTGTCATTATTTGCTGATGATATGATACTCTAAATTGGTGACCTAAAAACTCCACTAAAAGACTTCTAGGCTTAATTGACAGATTCAGTAAAGTAGCTGGATATAAGGTCAACACTCAAAAAACGATAGCCTTCTTATACACAAATAGCAGACTCACTGAGAGAAATTAGGGAAACAAATCCTTTTACAATAGCATCCCCCCCTCAAAAAAAAGAAATATCTAGGAATCAATCTAACAAAGGAAGCAAAAGAACTCTACACTGAAAAGTACAGCACCCTGAAAAAGGAGATCAAGGAGGATATAAGAAAATGGAAAGACATCACTTGTTCCTGGGTGGAAGAATCAATATAGTGAAAATGGCCATACTTCCAAAACTACTATATAGATTTAATGCAATGCCGATTGAAATTCCAACAATACACTTCACAGAGCTCGAGAAAACAATCCAAAAATTTATTTGGAAGCAGAAGAGACCTAGAATAGCAAAAGCAATTCTAGACAACAGAGAGATGGCAGTGGGTACCACAATCCCCAGCTTGAAACTATACTGCAAAGCCACTGTGATAAAAACAGCATGGTACTGGCAAAGAAACAGACCCAAGGAACAGTGGAATACATTAGAAGATGCAGAAATAACTCCAGACATACTCAAGTAACTCATCTTTGACAAACAAGCAAACCATCCTCACCAGAGGAAAGATTGCCTTTTTAAAATATGGTGTTGGAAAAACTGGATTGCAACATGCAAAGATTAAAACTAGACCCTTATAATTTACCATGCGCTAAACTAAATTGAAGTGGAGTAAAGATCTAAGTATTAAAACAGAAACACTAAACTTGCCGAAACATAAGTTAGGTAAAACTCTCAAAGACATTGGCATAGGAAAAAACTTTTTGAACAAATCCTCAGTAGCATGGGAACTAGCACAAAGAATCAACAACTGGGATGTCATCTTATTAAAAAGCTTCTGTACTGCCAGAGAAACCACCAACAGAGCTAAGAGACAACCTACAATGTGGGAAAAATTTTTTACCAGCTGCTCCCTTGACAAAGTTCTACTATCTAGAATGTATCAAGAACTGAAAAAAATGAGACCCCTCAAATATAAAGATCCAATTCAAAAATGGGCATCTAAAATGAACAGACATTTTTCAGACAAAGAAGGAAAAGCAGCAAATAAACATATGGAAAAATGTTCAACATCCCTGGTCATTGAAGAGATGCAAATGAAAATAATGCTGAGATTCCACCTCACCCAAGAAAGAATGGCTGCTATCAAGAAATCAACTAATAACAAATACTGGCAGGGTTGTGGGGAGAAAGGAACCCTTCTTCTTTGTTGGTGGGCGTGTTGACTGGTGCAAACACTGTGGAAATCAATATGGAGATACCTCAAACAACTAGGCTTGTAAGTCCCCTTTGATCCAGCTATTCCTCTGCTGGGTATGTTCCCCAAAGAATTAAAAGAATCAAACCACAGTGATATTTCCTCACCGATGTTTATAGTGCCATAGCATGTACTAGCTAAAACTTGGAAATAGTCCAATGCCGATCAACTGAAGACTGGATAAAGAAGATGTGAGTTTTTTTTTTAATAAAATGGAGTACTACTCAGCCATAAAGAATGAGAAAGTAGAGACATTTATAGCTAAGTGGATGCACATTGAGGCCATCCTCTTAAATGAAATAAATAGGACACTCATGTATAAATACTGAATAGTTTCTCTGGTGTGAAAAACAAAGTGTAAATAAGGATCAAAATGTACAATTGATATTGTGAAATAGGAAAAAATGGTCTAAGTGACTAGGGGAAGTGGAATGGGTAGGGGAAAGGAAAGAAGAGAAAAGAAAAAATATGAGAAAAGGAAAAAAATGGAAACAAATTATTTGTAAATAGGGAAGGCAGGAGGGGGTGAAGGGAGGGCTGGGGAATGAAGAAAAAATAAGAACCAAAATACATCATGTAAAGGTTCAAGATCCCAGTTATGAATGTAAGTATACCTAAAATATACCAATAAATAAACTTAATTTTAGAAAGTCATGACAATGATAAATCAATACATATCAGTTATGACCATCAATGTTAATGGTCGCAAGTCACCAATCAAAAGAAGTAGATTGGCAGAATGGGTCAAGAAGCAAGAACCAAGAATATGCTACATACAAAAAACACACTGAATTCAAAAAGAAAGTCATAGACTGAAAGTTAAAGGGTGGAAAACAATACTCCATGTGACAGGAACCCGAAAAAAAGCAGGAGTAGCTATCCTCTTTGCAGATCAAGTAGATTTCAAACCAACAGTGACTAAGAGAGACAAAAAAGGACACTACATCCTTGTAGAGGGAACAATCCAAGAGGAAGAGATGACAATTATAAATATCTATGCACCAAACACTAGTGTGCCCAACTATATAAAACAAATACTAACAGACATGAAAAATCAAATCAGCACTAATACAGTATTAGTGGGGGAACTCCATACCCTACTGTCACAAATAGACAGATCAACTAGACAAAATATAAGCAAGAATTCAATCAAACTCTTGAGCAAATGAATTTAACAGATGTTTACAGAGTGTTCAACCCCACAAAATCAGAATACACATTCTTTTTAGCTGCACATGGGTCGCTCTGCAAAATAGACCACATACTTGCTCACAGAACATGTTTAAGTACGTTCAAAGGAATTGCAGTTATCCTCTGTATATTTTCAGACCATAGCGCAATGAAATTGGTGATCAATAGCAAAAGAAACCACAAGAATTTCATAAACACATGGAAATTGAACAACACATCTAAATAAGCCATGGGTTACAGAGGAAATTAAAAAAGAAATCAGTTCCTACAATTAAATGACAATGACAAGACAACATATTGGAATCCATGGGACACAGTGAAAGCAGTCTTATGAGGGAAATTCACAGCAGTGAATACTCATATTAGGAAAACAGAGCAAGCCCAATTAAACAACCTGTTGTTGCACCTCAAGCTTCTAGAAAAAGATTGGCAGGACAAACGCAAAGATCATATAAGGCAGGGAATTATAAAGATCAGAGCAAAAATCAATTGAATGGAGACTAAGAGAATGATACAAAAAATCAACGAAGCAAAGAGTTGGTTCTTTGAAAGAATATACAAAATTGAAAAAAATCTTAGCCAAACATATCAGCAAAAGGAAATAAAAGGCCCAAATCTGTGCAATTAGTAATGAAAAGGGTGAAATTACAATGGACCCAGCAGGAATCCTGATGATCATCAATACTTACTTTGAGAACCTATACGCCAATAAGATGGAAAGCATAGAAGAAATGGACAGATTCCTAGATGCATATGAATTACCAAAGTTGAAATAAGAAGACCTAGAAATCCTAAAAAACTCAATATCCATCAATGAAATTGAAAACATAATTAAAAACTTGCCAACTAAGAAAAGCCCAGGTCCTGATGGCTTCACTGCTGAAAACTATAAGACATTTAGAGAGGAACTACTGCCACTACTGTTTAAACTCTTCAATGAAATTGAAAGGGATGCAATACTCCTGAATTCATTCCTGGAAGCAAGCATCACGTTGATTCCCAAAGCAGAGAAAGACCCAACCAAAAAAGAGAACTATAGGCCCATCTCACTAATTAACATAGATGCAAAAATCCTCAATAAGATACTGGCAAATAGAATGCAGAAGATCATCAAGGACATCACACACCCTGACCAAGTGGGATTCATCCCAGGGATGTAGGAATGGTTCAACATACCCAAATCAATCAATGTAATACACTATATCAAGAGAGGCAAGGACAAAAACCATATGATCATCTCAATAGATGAAGGAAAAAATTCAACAAAGTCCAACACACATTTATGATAAAAACCCAACAAAAAAATGGAATAGACTGTCTCTTCCTCAATCTGATCAAAGCCATCTATGAAAAACCAACAGCCAATATCATACTAAATGGTCAAAAAATGAATTCCTTCACACCAAAATCAGGAAGAAGACAAGGATGTCCACTATCACCACTCCTGTTCAATATAGTTCTGGAAACATTAGCCTCAGCATTTAGACAAGAGAAAGAAATAAAAGGAATAAAGATAGGAAATGAAGAAGTCAAATCATCATTATTTGCAGATGACATGATACTCTATATAGAAGACCCCAAGAACTCCACCAAAAGTCTTCTAGGCTTAATAGCCAAATTCAGTAAAGTAGCTGGATACAAGGTCAACACACAAAAATCAATAGCTTTCCTCTACACGAACAACAGAGTCACTGAGAGTGAAATAGGGCAAACAATTCCTTTTACAATAGCATCCAAAAAAATGAAATACCTAGGAATCAACCTAACAAACAAATCAAAGACCTCTTCTTTGAAAACCGTAGCACTCTGAAAAGAGAGACTAAAGAATATATCAGAAAATGGAAAGTCATCCCTTGCTCCTGGGTAGGAAGAATCAACATAGTGAAAATGGCCATACTTCCAAAACTGCTATATAGATTCAATGCAATACCCATTGAAATCCCAGCAGCATACTTCATGGATCTTGAGAAAACAATCCAAAAATTCATTTGGAACAAAAAGAGACCTAGAATAGCAAAAGCAATTATAGGAACCAGAGACATGGCAGCAGGTATCACAGCCTCCAACTTGAAACTATACTACAAAGCTACTGTGATAAAAAAAAACTGCATGGTCCTGGCAAAGCAACAGACCTGAGGACCAGTGGAATAGATTAGAAAATGCAGAGACAACTCCAGACATACTCAGCCACCTCATCTTCAACAAAGGAGTGAATCATCCGCACTGGAGGAAAGATAGCCTGTTTAATAAATGGTGCTGGAAAAACTGGGTTTCAACTTGCCAAAGATTAAAATGAGACCTATACCTCTCACCATGCACTAGACTAAATTAAAATGGATTAAAGTTATAAATATTAAAACAGAAATGCTGACCCGGCTTGAACAGAGGTTAGGTAGAACTCTTGAAGACATTGGTGTAGGAAAAGGTTTTATGAACAAAACCTCAGTTACCTGTGAACTAGCACAAACATTCAACAACTGGGATCTCATCTTATTAAAAAGCTTCTGCACAGCAAGAGAAACCACCAGCAGTGTGAAGAGACAAGCCACGATGTGGGAAAAAATTTTCGTCAGCTGTCCTTCAGAGAAAGGTCTACTATCTAGAATCTATAAAGAACTTAAAAAGATCAGACCTCCCAAATTTAAAG